TAAGGATTTGTGGGGGCATGCATACGCAAACTCAATGGTCCATTAACGTCACTCAAGCTGTTGATCTTACACTTCCACGCAATCAACGCGGTACAAATATAGTTAAGAGCCGTCGAAAAAACTCTTCACCTAAACGATGACGAGATAATCTCTGTGCTTGTCGAGTTACTAAAACTCACTAGAGACATCTGAGGAGTAATGGGGGGAAGGGGGTGAGTGGAGTCTTTCCTCACGGGGCACCTCAGTTTAGTCACCTGACGAGTAAGGTATAAGTGAGATAGGGGGTATTTATCGTAGTTCTCTTTCTATTGAAGAAAACTGCAGCACATACAACAGTGGCGCGTGAACCACATCATACATTCAATAATATTCTCAAGCTTTTCGTAATGCCTTCCAATGTTTGATGTCTATTTAATTTTGGCGTCTATGACGCATTTATGAGAGGCCGCAAGTGCAGTTATTATAAGTGCCATGCAGAGTAGCTGCTCCCAACCACGGTGAGCTAAGCTACCTACCACTTTTTAGTCACTAGTTTATTACTAAACCTCTGTGGGAGGTGGTCTTTGGACTAGGAAGGCTAATGGTTACTTGTGGTGAACACTCGGGAACAGTCTAGCAGAGCTATTCTCGTATCCCAGAAAAAGTCAAATCGCTTAGCGTTTAATGATATTCGTAAAGAAAACTAAGTCTCAGTGATTCATCCAGCAAACGAGCAAATCCAGCAACCTCTAAAAACCGCTTGCATGTAATGGAGACGTTCAATGTTACCGCATTTTACACAAACGTTTCGAATGACGCCGTAATACAAGCCGTTCACGAACTGCTGTAGAGAATGCAGGGTAAAAATATGTATGTCTTGTCAAATCAACACCTTATGGTTCTTTTGAAGGGGTGCCATAGCTACTGAGTATTCAGATAGCCAGGAAGATTTTTTAAACAGATTTAGCAATGAGACAACGATTAGCACTTGCCTTCGCCATTGTCTTCATGTCTCAGGTGGATGCCCCAAATCGTAGTCGTTGTCCATCGACGTCTGTTGATGCAAGACAGCGAACTGATTGGGAGAAGCGTTGGATCCTACGATACATGCGAAGATAAAACATATGAATGAACGCCTATATAGATGACTGAATTCGTTCAGCTACCAGATGGTTTGTTAAGGCTGAAATTCATTTTTATTTTATGCAAAATTATGCGCAAAATTCTCTACTGACTGGTTTTTACATGGATTTTCTACTTCTGGCCGTAGGAGTTATGAGTAGGCGGTAGCCGTTAGCTGGATGAAATGATTACCTCGTAGAGACGTTGCTGTTTTGAATGTTTTTCTGCAAATTAGTTACTATCGAGAGAATGTTTGCCTACCAGAAAATTGTGATTGAAACTTGCAGCTTATGGAATAGAAAAGATTTATGAAAGAGTGTTTTCCGCGTGACAAATTCTGAGTCATGTTGGTAATCCATCACACTTTCAAGTTGACTGAACGCAACTAATTATAAAGCAGAGTTTTTCGAAACTAAGAATTTAATTTTTCTTCGGTTTTACCTATTTGTAATCCTAATCCTTCGATCCTACGGCGATCGCTTACATCAATTTACATCGTATATTCTATAAAGTACACTTTTTACAAACTTTCTGGGACGAAAAAAAGCTCGATGAGCAAGAAGCTTAGCCGGGCCAATACCTAGTGGTTCTTATTTAGATAGTGTTACTTTCATGGTGGCCATCTGTGATTGTCCACATCTGATAAGTTGATTTTCAGGTCACGAGCTGTTACCACTCACTTCATCATCAATCTTGCCTTAGCCGATCTGCTCACTGGAATATTCGCAATTCCTTTCAAATTTCAGGCTGCCCTTTTTCAGGTGGGAATTTTTGAATGCGGCATCTGCACTTGTCTCTGAATTGAATACTTTCTATATCTTCAGTTTTTCTTGGGGGTTCCTCAATGGAATAATTTCGCACCTATGAAGAGGGTTCACAATATGTGAACATCAGTTCTGTAGAAATACTTTGTATTTGAGTAGTGATGCTGATGTTCAAAAATAAATAAAGGTATAATATTACACATATACAGCCAAAGAGCAATTGAGTGTACGACATAACGTTCGTCGACGCTATCTCACAGTGTGGGGGATTGGAGCACCATCAGAGGATTAGCTAAAAGGCGGGTTCTGCTCGACTGATGAGACTATAAGATCGAAATAAGTGTATCGGGCTGTATAAAAGCCATTAACAGACCACATGACATGTTGGCCCAGATAATAATCATGAGAATATTGAAATTTGAAAAAAAAAGTTTTGAAACTTGAGCGCATGTGGTGCAGTGGCTAGAGGTGCTCTGCATTGCACACAAGGTCAATGGTTTGATCTCGCGCTTGTGGCTCACCAAGCCATACATCCCTCCGGGGTCTATAAATTGGTACCAGACAAGTCTCAGGCTTGTGGAAGGATAAGCAGCACTGACTCGGTTCATCGGGGGCCATCGCCAGTTACTGTAAAGGCCAGATATGCACTCAATCACGTCGAACGAAGTCAAAATTGAAGACGAATGCATGGCGCATCCCTCAGGGGTTAATCAACGCCGAGAGCTTTATCCTTTTTTTATATTTAAATTTGATCGTGGACTCAATAAAACGCTCGAAATAAAGGTAATTAAGAATACATGGTTGTAATTCTGAAGTAGTATTCGTATCGATGCTTTGCAGTAAAGGCGAAATTATCCGTATATCACTCATTTTTTCCCGATTCAGTTTGTGGCGTAGATCTTCTTCACTGTGCATTTTGTAATTATTCAACAGCTTATTTCACTCAGACACAATGAGCTGAGAGAAACTTTATTCTGAAAGGATTTTTTATGAACGAGCTCATTGACCAGTAATTTGACTGGGGATTGAATGCTATTTCCGTTCCATTTGCTATAATGAAATGGGCAAGTATAAAAAAGGCAGAAATAATAGGTTTAACTCAAATTGCAAAGCACTTCAAAATGCTGGCAGCATTCTGCATATATGATGGATCATAGTACTATATAGTAAATAGTGGCAAACATACCACGCGCACTCTTAAGCAAAAGAGCAGTCTTTCTACTATTCTGTTATATTGACAGCCACTCAATAACATTTACTGACGTGAAATTGCCTTCTATTGTCTAAAAAAGATCAAGTCGTTAAAAGGGAAAATAGACATCGCCCCATTTGCTCGCCATACCTAACCACGCGCCATCACCAGAGCGTCAATGTTAATAGACATCCTGCATTAATTCGGATGTTTTTTTAGAGCACACGATATATTTTACAATATAATGTTTCCAATGTATGCTAGCAATGCTACGAGTACACTGAATCAAGTCGTGTAACACTTGGAACATTTCTACTCTTTCAATTCCCATTATGAAATAGCCACCACGAAAACACTTAGTACCTTTATTACTGCACAGGTACTTATGTTAAAATGGTTAGAGGCGCCCTGTGGCACATATGTTCAGTGGTTTGATCGCGCGCCCAAAGCTCAGGAAGTCTACCATCCCCACGGGCGTGGTGAATTTATTACTAGACTTATTCGGGAGGATAACAGTACTGACTTGATACATCGGTGGACCACCGCGAGTCACTATAAAGTTTACATGGGCATTCAGTCATCTCTATCGATGCTTGATGGAGTCGAATACAGGGCATACCCATCAGCAATTGATCAACGTCGAGAGATTTATCCCTTCTTAACCCTTGTTGATGCAATATAGCTAAAAGGTTTTAATTCACCTAATTTTCCTTCTTCTCGGTCGTCTCGTATGTGAGAGACGAGCAATTGACTTCAAAATTCTCATTATTGCGAGGACGAAAGACGAGAGCACCCTCACAAGATCACGCACTGGCTTCAATGCACATCATCTGGTTTGCGTCACACAAGCTTTATCTGGTGTAATTTACGTGTTGAATTGACAACATAGCTGCCTCATATGTTGAATCATGCGTCGTCCGGGGGGAGCCATTCCCTACACATCAAAATTCGCATTGAAAGGCTGTAAAGAAAAGTTTGGCCGTCTCAGTTGTGCGGCGATTCTTTGTCATTTCGCACAAAGGACAACAGGGAGACCGTTGGCGACAAAATTTCTCCCCATGTATTTATTTCTTCATAAATATAAATAATTCACGAGTTCCTGACAAATTCTTTGTTAGTGAGCTATAGAATAACACATAAGGTTGCACAAATGTTTGATGTTTTGACACGCAGGGATAACTCAACTGGTATCAACTGGGGGATCATCGCATGCCGGAAAAATATTCACTACATGTGAGCAGAAATTATCATATTTTGTAAACCTGCGAATATCGCGGACACGGTTTCACTGGCAAGTTATCAATACAGATTGATTGGCCTGATGACGGTCACTGAAAAGCCGTTGCTTTCATACAATCACATTTTTCAAAACATCGACATCGATGAAAGCTGGTTCTTCTTCGTAACGTAGCTGTTTAAAAACTAAGCTACCTGTTGTCAAAGACACTGCACTACTGTACATGGAGAAATGAGGAGGAGAAAGCTACTCCGATAAACATTTACCCACTAATATCACTGCTCTGGAGCGCATGTGGCGCAGTGGTTAGAGGTGCCCTGCGTGGCACACGAGGTCAATAAATGGTTCGATCTCGCGCTCATGGCTCATCAAACCATCCATCCCTCCGGGGTCGATAAATTGGTACCAGACAGGCCTCAGACTTGTCTGGGAGGATAAGCAGCACTGACGCCGAGAGCTTTATCCTTTATCCTTATGTCACTGCTCTCCTTCGGTGTAATCTGCACATTTTGTTAGATATTTGTAGGAATTGCAGCCATTCACAGTGACTGCCCTGCAAAACTTACAACACCATGGCATTTGGGAGTTTCGCATTATGTTCGCAACCTATTAGTCATCATCAGAATAGATGAGAATGAGGTTGAGTGACAAAAACTCCAACACTATTCCGTTTACCCAGTATTGTAGAGTGCTGTGCAAAAACTTTTGCATCAGCAGGGATTCGAACCCAGATCTCACTCTTTCCGGGAGCGTATGCTAACCGTTGTACTACCGACGCTCGTTATGCGCACACTACTTTTACGCTAGAACACGCTATCTGTCAACACCCAAATAAAATAAATGGCGGTCAAATAAATCATTTCTGACTATTCGGTTTTTCTAATCCCTCAGCGCTATGTTATCTTACGTTTGCACACCTTGATGTCATTTAGCAAGAAAATTAGATTGTGAATGTTTAAAAAAAGCTATGACCAAAAGTTTTGCAAAATTTATCCATATAAAGTGTATAAATTCTTGGCCCATTCGAGAGCAAACGGCGCGAAGGGAAGAGCGCGATTGGAGCATCATTTTGGATCACATTTTGCATGGCACACGAAAGAGGTGAATCCAGTCGGGTTTTCTGAAGCAGTGGTCATATTGTTGAATTTTCAGAAGGAAAAAAAGGAGAAAAGTTGGTCCAAAAATCATCGCAAAGGTCGTTAGTCAAAGGGCGTTTATTGACGCACGGACACTGTAATGTCCATAAGGCGCGAAATGAGTCTATATTCTCCAAATATAGTTATGTCGATACGACTGACATAAGTTTGATTTGGATAGAAAGTCGACACGGCAGGCAACCAAAACCACATTTAGATATGGAGAAAAGGATGACGAACGAGCATGTTGCAAGCATGAAAGTCCGCAATAGGTCTGAAGAGAAACTTCTGAACCAAATCGAAAACTTTTCGCTATAATGTCCCTCATTTTCTAAAACAGCGGTGATGAGGCTTGATTTTCGATAGTTGCCAACAAGTTCTCGTCCGCCAGAGTATTTTGAAGTTCCGAATAATAGTTTTACAGAATACACTTTGCTCTATCGCGTTGATATCAAAAGTGACTGTTGTACAATCTTTTTTCAAGTAGAGGTACATTTGAAGTTATTACGTGGGAAAGATCGATAGCCAAGTTGGAGTTTTCAAATTGCAGCAAAAATGTGGCAGCTTTAAATGTAAACGACATTTCAGAGAACGCTGTCATGTTGTGCAGGAAAAACCTGCTAGTCAATTTTCTTTCAGTTTTGAAATATGAGATCGAAAGCAATAAGGTGCACAAATTATGTGCTATCAGATCACTAACATTAGAACATTCCCTTGGTGCAACCAGAGAGCACTTATCTTCTTTGCGGAGGTTTGCACATTCCAAAGCGCACTATGGGCTAAAATGAATTGCTTAAAATTTGAAAACGGCTAACATCTTCTTAGCTCATAGCTCCTACAGAGCATACGTTATCTTGAATGTATTAATATATAATCCAGATATCTCAAACGATGCGCATCCTAGCCACACGAGAAAAACTTAACTAAGCAACCACATTTTTATGTTATTTGTTTCTTTTATAATAACCTTTCATGTGAATAGTGACGGTGTCGTATAAATACCCTGCAGCCATAGAAGCTCAGAATCAAAACGAGTGCTATAGGAAATAATTCAATTTACTACCACCGCAGTGATGGCAGTTGACAGTGACAGATTTTTGAAATTTATTTAATTAGAGAGAGATTATTTGCGGTAGGCATTGAAATTCAGCAAATAAATGAATTCTAATAAGAGCAGTGAAATCCACATATCAAGTGAATTCAAGTCACGAGGATAAAATAAATACGTATATATTTAGCAACATCAAAGCACAAGAATGCTAAATTATATGCAAAACTCTTGGAACAATGGGTGGCCTGCAATCTCATCACATCTCTTTCCCAGGTGTTCGTTCTATCCACTACTTGAAAGTTTGTTCAGTACAACTGGAATATTGGAGGAAGGCGAAATTCACAGCATCAGTGAATTACGAACAAAAAACCTAAGCCGCTTCTTATTCATTCGATCAACAAGGATGGGTCGGTAGTGCAGGTGGAGCTGAACGAACTCCTGAGAATTGTAGGTTGCCCGCAACCTGATGTCATCATAAGATTAGGACGTCATAATGTTTATTCAAATATTAAATCTCTTGAAATACATGCAAGCTTTTCAGGAATGGTTCCTTCCAAGGTCGTTGTGCCAAATCGTACCGTACACCGAGACCGTCTCGTTATCGGTATCGGTTTTTACTTTGACTGCTTCAGCCGTTCACGAATTCCGTACCGTATTCTTTGCTAAGAATAGGAGAACGAATGGACGAAATGTTAAGTGAGTAGTTTGAGACATCTAAATAACTTAATAGCATTACCTGGACGGTCCGTCTTCACTAAATGGGGATCCCAGCACATATTCTATTCGTCCCTATGTTGCGCTACAGTCGGAGCTGACGGTGGTCTAGTTTGAATATGGCGGCCAGTGCGAGTCTCATACCGTGATCTGGATATCTGAATTATAATTCTAGAAAAATATTCTCGACTTCATAATCCGAGAGATAAATAAAGCAACATCAGTCTTACGGTTAGTCTTGTTAGGAGTATTTAGTTGATTATGGCAAAGGAATTCGCAATTGTGGAAAGTTTACCGTGAATACCTTGTCGACGAAGTCATCCAAGCTGGGTGTGAAGCACACCTAACGAGAAGTTCAATTAGTAAAAAGCTAGTGTCAATTCAATAACCGTCGTCATAGAAGGAAAGTAGTTCAAAGGCACTTATCTTAACCAAAATCCGCTAAAGTCGGCACTTGCTAGCCTGTAACGACGATCTAAAAGCAATCCAACACGGTTTGGAAGAGTTCCTAGAGAAGAATCCTAGAAACCAATAAAACGCAAGTAAATGGGAGTTTTGCTGACGTCTTCACGACCGCGAAGGCAAGGCATTCAGCTATTAAGTTGGTTGGTTAGTGTGGCATACTACTAACGATTGTCTCTTCATTGTCTCTTGTTCTTGACCCACGATTGCGAATGCAGTGAAAAGTGTTTTGAGCAAAAATCTAAGAAATGGTGCGCAATGACATAGCTGTGACGAAACATTGACAACTTTCTTATGGAAATCCAATGCGATAATAGTTGCACCAAAGTTGATGATGTTCATGAACGAAATCACACATCGTAGGGCCTTTTCTTCGTTTTGAAATATAGCACTATTTCATGAAGAAAAACTGGACTGGTCATGCTATTCAGCTTCAGACTATGCTTTTAAACCCAATGATGTAAAGTGGTGTGCAAAAACGTTTGCGTCAGCCCGGATTTGAACACAGATCTTACTCTTTCCGGGAGCATGTGCTAAACCGTTGCACCACTGACGCTGGCTTTGCACTCCACTCTTTCTACGCTACAACGCGTTATCTGTCAACAACCAACCGTCTACGGTGTGGCGGGGAAGGCATTGTCGCCATTGAACCCACTTTTCTTGACAGATATTGGGTTTCAATTATTAGGGATAGGGCCTTCCATTGAACTATGTCCGATTTTACTCAAATCTTTTATTGGGTTAATGATTCTGCACCATCGGGTGAGTCTTGAATTCAGTAATGTTTGTCAACACAGCAATACTTTCTTAAATAAGTTTGTGCTCGATTAATCAAAATTTGAGCCTTTAGAAATAGCTAACCTCCCTTTATGTTGAAAGAAGCTTGCTTATAACAACATCTTCCAGTAAACTATGTCTGAAACATCGCTTAAAATTTGCCACAGTTTGATAGATTGTTTTAAGCCTTTCAGAAGTTATGGCATCTCTAGTGATATACGCATGTTCCGGCGTATTCTCGCACGCCTCAATACTGCCATTTGCCTTTCGGTTTACCCCAACAACTAATGGTAGCGGCGCCGAGTACCACTAGAGATGCCATATCGGACCTCTAAAAGGTTTAAAACATTCTATCAGACTCTATTGAAGCTTGCATATTCTGACGATTTCTATCTAGAATAGTGAGTTGATGTGCACAGCTTACATTATTCGCTGCAAACGATAATAAAGATCGAAAAAAGAACTGATAAACGACAGTTTAGTACGAATAAGTGAATACTCTTCAGGTCGTTTGTGATACTGATATGGGTGATTGCAGCAGTAGTGTCTTTACCTCATGGTCTCTTCCACAAAGTGTACGAAATTCCAGACGGTAGCATCATTATCTCTCAGGTAACTTCATACAAGCGCTGTTTTTCTAAGATATGTTACCAATGCGTTGACGTGTAGCGCAGTGGTTTGAGTTGTCCCGCAATAGACACACCACAATTGGCTCATTCTATTTCTCGGGTGAACTAAATTCTCCTTATCTCCGGGGTCGCCAAATTTGCACTAGACTTGTCTGAGAGAAAAAAATCTCTGAAATGTTGGTAGGCTATAAAAGTCACTACATAGATTAGATGTCTATCCACTTACTTTCATAATAGCTGATGAAGTAGCAGTCATGGCATATTCATCGAAGATCGATGAAGGCTAAGCTTTATAATCTTCTTTTTTGTGTTAATGACGCAGAACCACGTTCCATGCCATGCATCGAAGGAAGAATTAAAGGACGAGTTAGATTTTGTTATATTTTTGGCTTATACCTTGTTTATCTATATCTTTATGATGCCGAACGACAAATACTTTGATCTATAAATATTTGATGGCATCACCTTTGCTGTTTTATTCACGAAAGATTATGTCGATCAAATAAAATTTAACTCGAGAGCCTCTTATCATCTAATACAACTTAGCATCATTGAACTCCTTTGCCTACAACGCTCAACACTATCGCACAGAGGAACGAAAAGCACGAAATTTTTGATGTGAAGTCTTCTCCTGAAAGTTCCTAAAGAATAGCTACCGTTGAAATCCTACCGTACTCCGCCGTACCTTTGCACTCAATGAGCTTTTGGATGGGAACATCGACGTCATTCACCGCCTAAAAACCTGGACTATCAGAAACAAATCCATTCATGATAGGACCCTAAATCATTGGGTGAAAACGGACCAACTAACTAAATTAGATGCCTTCTAATTATCCCATGTGTCTTCTGAAAATTATCAAACATTCATTTCATTATTATTTGAGCTAACTTGTCATATGGTCTGGTAAGGGCTCTTGTACAGCCCGATACACGTGTTTCGTCCTTACAGACTCGTCAGCCGAGTAGAACCCGTTGTCTTTCGATCTTTTCACAGTCAGTTCTCTCGGGA